TCTTTGACTGGATTGAAAAACCGGGGTAATGGGAAATATTTACTTCCTTGAAGAGTGCATGAAACGTTCTCTGGTTGATACGAGAGAGCTTGTGGGATCTAGTGTTCTCTCTTTTTAAACTTTTGAGATTCAGTGATGGTATAAATTGTGCATGTATTGTATCGTTAAATGTGTGGCATGGAATCACAAGTAAATATAATATCGATAATGATTGTAAGAATAGGAGATATTATAATTTGTAGTTCGTCAGAGTTGAAAGAATTGAAATAAGGAACGAAGAGGATGAGTTTGTAAAAGAATGGAAATTCTAATAGTTTGTTAAAAATTATGAAAAATAAAGAACTAATGGGAAAGAACTCGTTGGCTCTAAAAGCTGCAAGATTTAAAGATACGTTATATCATGCAAAAAGCATATCAGAAGGAATGAGAAGTGACTTTATAATGGATTGAAAGTAAAAAAAAAATTGATATCGTACACACGATGTAAAATTTTATTTCGTTATATTTTTGCATTATATCCATTGCCAATTATATCATTACATCATATTTCCAAGGAAGTATTTTTGTAATATTTTTTGTTTAAATTATCCAAATTTTTGTAAGAAATTCTTCATAAAAGATTACATTCTTTAAAGAGTTTATTTATTATTTTATTATTTTATAATAAATAAACACACTTTAGTATTTTTGCACGATTATACAGAATAAATATCGTCATACAATTTCCTTTCTCTATGTATGTAATGTCAATCAGAAAATGTATAAATCTATTTTGAAACAATAATCATCAATTACTCTTGTCAAAAAGCATCTCGTAGCAGAATAATTTATGACAGATCAAGAAGTTTCGATCCAATAATTTCAAGTTCTACTCGCAACAAAATCTATTCTCTAACTTCATGTATCGCCTCAGCAAACAGAAGATTACCACATACAAATTACATGTAATATCTCAATATTACAATTCCTGATATAATAATGAATCCCTTTTGTTAAAGTGTCCATTAAAGAAATCGTAGGGTAAAAGAGAACGTTTGTTTAAACGTATTCAATATAGTTTTCTACTTTGAATCCAAAGCTTTCGTGCAATGTCCCATTCATTAAATCACCTTAAATCTAAAACCTCGACTAATTCAATCATAAATTCAACGATATCCAATCCGCTCTTCAATCATTCTCAACACGTTAAACGTCAGCTTTTCGTGTTCTTTACCAGCCAAAGATCCCGATCAAACGAACTTTTATTCCGCATGCATTAACGAGACCATTTGCATCGCAAATACGGCTATATTTAACAAACGAATTCAACGAACACAAGAAACAAAACACGCCCCATTTTAGTAACGTTGATATTATACATATCTATCGCAATCAGCGCGAAATTTCCAGACAGGAATCTCTCTCAATTTGTACCCTATTCTCAATTATTCGTTATCACCCGATAACGAGACGAGCACACGTCATCACACGCAATATCATCCACGATTTAATCTTATCTCGTCGTGCGGGATAACAAGCAAATCTTAACTATCAACGAGAGCACAAGAGGTCGGAAATATCGTCGTTGGTGTACGTCTGTCCCGTGGTTGACCCCGGAATCGGAGAGATCGATCATTCTTGCGAAACCGTGTGTTATCGGCAGTCCCTCCGTAACCTTGCGAAATTATTGAACGAGCGTGAGTTAGGAGGCACGTTGCCCGATGGAGAACGACCTCGGCCACGATCATTCCCTCTTGGCCGGGCATATTTACTCGTCGCGTAAATCGGAGGCACGTTGCATCGGGGATTAAATCAACGCGCTCCGCTTCGTTGATGGGGATGAAGTGAACGAGATGGATGGTCGGGAAAGGATAGAAGATGATGCTGCTTGAGGATGAGGATGGAAAAGAGAGAGAGAGAGAGAGAGAGAGAGAAGAAAG